ATTTCTGAAAAATATGTAATTATATGTAATTAGATTAGTAATTAGATGTATTACTATGTAATTATAATTGATTATCTCTTATGTTTTAAGTACTGGGATTTGCCGGTAAAAAATCAAGAACAAATCACACTTCCCCGCAACTTATAATTGTTTATTGTAATTTAAAAACGTAAATGGTAATAAATTTATAAATATATATAAATTAAAAACTAAAGTAAACTTCTTATTAAATGTATTGTTACGTAAGTATGTAAATTGTATGTCATAACATAAATTAAATTACTGTAACTTATGAATAGAAATTAATTGTATTTACGATGAGGCCATATTGAATAAATAGTGATGAATTATAAAGATAGTGTTTTAATTTTGTCTATCTTATTATTGCTTTATTCGTCTTTTAGTTGTCCAACTGACAGGAAGAAGTTTTATAGTAGCGTTTGTACTGAAGCGAGCTGACGGCCTATCTGATGTTAAGCGGTTACCGGAGCGATTGAAATCTGCATTTAGCGTTCGACCGTTAGACCGGAATATACAGTTGTGGCAAAATTAGGCTGGAATATTGGCCCATACGCATTATATATTGGCACGGTTACTGGTGGTAGGACCTCTTGTGAGCCCGCGCGGCTGGGTACCACCACCCTGCCTGTTTCTGCCGTGAAACAGTAGTGCGTTTCGGTTTGAAGGGTGGGCCAGCCGTTGTAACTATACTTGAGACCTTAGAACTTATATCTCAAGACGGGTGGCGGTAACCACTTAAGTGGCACTTAAGTGACGAGCTCACAGCCCACCTGGTGTTAACACCAGGTGGGCTGTGAGCTCGTCCACCCATCTAAGCAATAAAAAAAAAAACGAAACAATAAGTATTCTTATCAGAATATCTGATGTAATTATTTACGATAGTAAATAGGTCAAATACTAATTTATAGTAGTACACGCTACAGTACACACAGTAGTGCACGCTCAATTCTCATTCTACAATGATATCTTCTTCTTTGTCTCCACCTTATCTCTCTAGGTGGGGTCGGCACAGCGATTTTTTTTATTCCATTCTCTTCTATCAGCCCTCATCTCAACACTAGCTCCTCTCTCTCTCTCATATCGTCATTCACACATTCCATCCATATCTTCCCCCTCTACCTTGCACTACCATTTCCATACATCTCCTAGTCACATACATATCTCTACGCATCACATGTCCATACCATGCTAACCGTTCTACAATGATATATCCTTAAGCCATGCATCAGCTCGCTGAGTTTCTCGCCGGATCTTCTCAGCAGATCGCGATTGCGATCCGGTGGTAGATTCGTTTGCGAAGCAGCTGCTCTTGAGTTGTAAGGTCTCTTTGGAGGCGCTCGGGCGGCTGTTAGCAAATCCCACGCCTCCTGGCTCAGCATTTGGTTGCTCGCAAGGTCCTGGTGAAACTGGAAAGGCCTCATGGCAACTAGAATCATTTAAAAAACCAATGATATAATTTAATTACTTTGCTTATAATATAAGTTAATATGTAGGCACATTCTCGTGGAACAGATGGCCGCGGGGGCAAAGTTGTCGAGTGGCTAGCGCGTAGTACGTCATTCGTGATGTAATATGGGTAGGCCTTCCACAAAGTGGACCGAAGACTTGTTGAAGGTCGCGGAAATCCGCTGGATGCCGGCGGGATCGGTCGTTGTGACAAGGCTTGTGGTAGGCCTATGTCCAGTAGTGGACTGTCTGCGGGCTGAGAGATGAATGTAGGTAACAATATGAAGTCGTCGTGGCCTAAAGGACGTCTGGTGCATTAGTATCTTGCGATGCACCGGTGTTCGAACCCCGTAAGCTGGTACCAATTTTACACGGGTAGGTACCACCACCCTGCCTATTTCCACCGTGAAGCAGTAATGCGTTTCGACTTAAAGGGTGGGACAGCCGTTGTACTGTAAAAACTGAGACATTATAACTCATAACTCAAGATTTTACGTTGTAAATGTTTATGGTCTTCGGTAACCACTTAACACCAGGTGGGCCGTGAGCTCGTTCAACCATCTAGGCATATTAAAAAAAATTCGAAATTCATCATTGTTTCTAGCTTTGGGGTCGTGACTAAGGGACGCCTGGTTAATGTTGTGATATCCATCTTCATTAAAAATTAATTCTTAATTTAGACCACATTCTACAAGTTTGTATTCACTTAAGGACGATCTTCTAGATGTTTGTGATATCGGAGTTCAATTGCTACTTCAATTAGCACCATATCCAAATGTCTAGATATAACAAGATATAACTTAGCACGAAAACTGTAAAGTATGCGAAACGTCAGAAATAAGTCATAAGTAATAATCATAAGTAATAATCATAAGTAATAATCATAAGTAATAATCATAAGTAATAAGAAATAAGTAATAATCAGTTTGAGGTTAAAACTTTTTAATAATGTCTGCCTGTGATCAAGATCAAGCTGATTTGTTTGATTCTGTTAAAGGAAATCGGGGATTTTATATCGAGATTGTAAAAGTTACAACAGTCAGAGAATTAAAAAATTTAATAATTCTAAATAAATCCCGTTATCCTGTTCTCGGAAACGGGCGTGCTATAGAGCGTCAAGTGACTGGATATAAAACTTGATTGATAAACAAAACAAATAAAGATAATTAAAGCTATTTAAATAATAAATACTCTTGTCTTATTGACAACTATTTTTCTGTAGACCATTTAAATAAAAACTATACACGTCTGTTAGCAAAACCATAATGGATACCATAAGTTGGAAGAAGTTGGAACATGCCTTTACCCGAGAAGTGGTTCCAATCAATGGCACTGAAGAAAATAATGATAGCGCATAAAAGAAAATAAAAGAAACTTATGCAAGTCTCATTTCGTTAGTCTCGCTAAAACTCGAGAACGGCTGGACCGTTTTGGCTAATTTTGGTCTTAAATTGTGGAAGTCTTGAATTGTGGAAGTCTCTATTTGTGGAAGTCTAGAGAAGGTTTAAAAGGTAGATAAATATGAAAATGCTCGGAATTAAATAAAAATAACAATTTTGTTTTTCTTTGATGTGTCCCCCGTTGGGCGGATTCCTTTTGTTTGTTTTAAGCTTATTTAGGTCTTTTATTTATCGATTGAGGTACTACGAAGTCTGCCGGGTCAGCTAGCGTGTAATATATATTAAAACGCATATAATAACAATTATTATTGTGGATTTGACATAAACGGGCTTTATTATTATTATTATTATCTTGGAGCCGTTCTATTCATCCGAGGTACGTTTGGAGATGTCTAGAAATCACCGCATGTCCTTTTGAAATCAAAGCTCGAAGCGACGTTAGCAACGTTGCCGATGTCCATGAGCGACAGTAATCATTATATTATCGATGAGTTCAGTGATATCTTCGAAGGAAGATATGAGTATTTTATTTTAATTATTAATACGTGTAGGAATTTATGTATCCCTTTTTACGAGAATTGCGCGGACGGAGGAGTATGAAATTTCCCACACTTATAGAGAATATAGAGATGGAGAGGATAATGTTAATATTTTTTTAAATTATGCCTAAAAAATACATTAAATCAATAAAAAAAATACATTACACACACTACCATGTATTTCACGCACGTGTGTGCGTGAAATACTATTTAGTTACTGTCAAACTTTTGTTCTTGACGTCTGTGGTCAAATTGAGAATAGATTAAACATTGTTTGTCTTGGTTAATATTTTTTATAGTGTAGCCTTGGCGAAATTTGTGATTATAGAAGTATAAAATACAATCATAATAGTGAACAAACTTACAATTTCAGTTAATTATAGTCGAATTTCGACTACTGCGGGACCAGTAGTTTTAATTATTTAACACGCATGCCTATGCATAAAGAGCGTACACATTAGAACACGAGATCGAAGTTTGAATAGAGAAGAAAAAAAAAACCATACGAATTATGTCTGCCAATAGTCACGTAGACCGATTAATCATTTTCTTTGATCCAAACAAATATTGAGTCACCGAATGTTCAAATATTATTTAAACATAATATAAAAGGTACGGTGGAATTACAAGAGAAGGGAAAAACCGGGTGCCGGATTTAAATGACTAAGGTTGGGTTATTAAATGGAGCGATACTATGAGAATTAAATCACAATTTTGTTGCAGCTTAAGAAACCTATGGAGACGCGACCGTAGTACTAAAATTTTATGAAATGTATGCTTAAGTTATATAATCGGCAGCGAATCCTACCTCATTTTATATGTATGCAAATACTTTAAAGTGTTTGCAAAGATAAAATAGATTGTTAGTTAAAGTGGCGTGTTATAATTGAGACATCTCAAGGTGGACGGCGGTAATCGCGTGATGATGTCTATGGCCTCCGGTAACCACTTGACTGGTGGACCTCTTGTGAGTCCGCACGGGTAGGTAGCACCACCCTGCCTATTTCTGCCGTGAAGCAGTAATGCGTTTCGGTTTGAAGAGCGGGGCAGCTTTTGTAACTATACTGAGGCCTTAGAACTTATATCTCAAGGTGGGTGGCGCATTTACGTTGTAGATGTCTATGGGCTCCGGTAACCACTTAACACCAGGTGGGCTGTGAGCTCGTCCACCTATCTAAACAATAAAAAAATAAAAACACTTAGCAACAAGTGGGTTGTCATTACCTATCTGTGCAAAGAAACTTCCTATCATTCGTAATCCTATGATCATTCCAATATCCTATCCTATATAAAACTTCATTAATAAGGCAAAATAATAATAGAGTAACTACCAGACTAATAATTTTTTTTTTTTTTTTATATTAAAATGTAATAGGATATGTGTATTATAATGTAGCACTAATGGAACGGTTTTCTATGAAATATATTCACGTGCGTTACAAGGCTACGCCGCATTCAGATCAAGGGTGTGAACTAATAAAAATTGTAGCAACAATGGCGACTCAATGCACGTCGCGGTTTCGATTGAACCGCTCTTTTAAATACGATTGTATTCAAGAATGCAGTTTAGTATCATATTTTATGTACACTAGTTAAGACCACGAGAATGCGGGTGGGTGGTTAAAATTTCACAAACAAACAAAAAAAAAACTAGTTTTTTGTATAAAAGTGTAAAAAGAATTTGTGTCCAAAATGAATTTGTGGATAATTCTCATTGTTTGTTGGTACGGAATTTTGTGTGAAGTCGGATGTCGGAGTGTCCATAGATACAAACGTGAGTTGACGTTGATTGCAAAACAAATTGGCTTTTGAGGTCATTGACACACTGAACAAGTATTAGGTAATCTGTGCTCGGTGTATTACAAATATAACAGATACCTATTGCCAAATTCTTAGCTCTAAAACTCTGTCTCGCTCACACCCTTCATAAAGTTTATGAGTGCGAACGAGATAAATCATTATTCATCCTACACGTATACATTTTGTTTTACGTTTCATATATGAAATTCGAATTTTAAGTAGTCATAAATGTTTGTATGTTTAATTATACTTCCGACATGCTGTGACAGTTTCTGGCTTGATATTAATCGTGACTTGTTCTGAATTGGCTTCCTATATCCTTATTTATATTCAATCCTGCAGTGGACAATAAACGCTTGTAATAAATAAATTATTTGATCAATCGAAAACGTTGACGGAACTAGATTCAAAATCTAAAAGGTCTAATTTAGAAGCACTTAAGACTAAATACATTTATGGCCACTTTTATGAGAAGCGGTGCATATTATCTTCTTCTTCTGAGTCGTTATCTTCATAGCTTGAGAGTTGTTGTAGTTTGAACACTCATTTCTCGTTGCAGACTTCTTCTCCAAATGTCTCTATCTTCGGTGCTATATAGAAGCACATTGTTAAGAGATGCTATCAGAGCCCACTGAGTTTCTCGCCGGATCTTTTCAGTGGGTCGCGTTTCCGATCCGGTGGTAAATTCTGCAAAGCACTGCTTTTGCTACGGTTAGTGTTAGCAACGACGTTAGGTTTGAGTCCCGTGAGCTACTAGTTAAGGTTACGCTGAAATGATCTCTCAAGAAAAAAAAAAGAAACATGCTATGCATGCATATAAACAGTCTTGACTAACGAATAGATGATCCATCACGTGGTCTTTTGGCGTCGACATGATTAAAGCTGTTTATATTCACACATTTTTTTAAAGGCCTAATTGCTGGTAGCATAAGGGTGGTAGCCAAATTCCAGTAACGCTAACAAGTAGGTGCGCTCACGGGGCTCAAACCTGACGACGTTGCTAACACGAACCCTAGCAAGAGCAGTGCTTCGCAGAATCTACCACCGGATCGGAAACGCGACCCACTGAGAAGATCCGGCGAGAAACTCAGTGGGCTGTGTCTGTGGGTTAATTTACGCGTCGAGCCCTTCGTCGCAAGCGACGGGTTCGATGAGAACGATGACCGGTAAATCCACCTTTCAAATTGGAATGCATGACTGCATTGACGGTCGGAGTACACTGGTATAATACTCAAATATGAGGGCTGCTCATTCTCCAGTGAATCTCTTAGTCGCCTTCTAAGACACCGATAGGAATAGATGGACTGGTGTCATTGATATCGGTATTATCGTTGTATAACACCAAGTCGTGATTGCGTATGAGAATAGTCTCTTTCCGCTTGGCTTACATTCTATTTCAATTGAGGTCAAGTCTTTTAGCACTCATTGTAGTAAACATGACTTTTTTTCATTAAAATAAAAGTAAATAAAACCTTTTTTGCGATTAAAAAAAATATGGAAACAATTAGAAAACCCTTTTATCTTCTTATTCTTCTTCGTCGCTTTCTTCATTACTGAAGGTCGTGTCTTTGAAACTTGACCGTGGCCTGTCTCGTGAGCTGTTTCCACCTCGTCCGGTCCTCAGCTTCTCGAATGGCGGTTGCGATTGGCAGCCCAGTTAGGGTGGTTATTTGGTCATACCAGCGGCTAGGTGATCGACCGCGGAGTCTCTTTTCTTCTATTTTGCCCGTCACAATCACTTTGTCCAAGTTATCTGACTGTCGGCAGGCAATGTGACCGAAGTAGCTGAGGATCCGATCCCCTTTACAAGGTATGAAATCAGTGTTCGAAAATAAATATAAACAATGCATTTTTCATCAGATTTCACATGAAGTTTTCTGAAGTTTCTGTTTCCGCCATACTCGGCTTAAACTTGTTGATATCATGATAATTCGATTAAATAGTGTATTGTTCTTGATAATGAATCGTGAGAAAAAATTATCAACTTACAGATCACATTTACCGATCTGTTCTCAAAATAATTTTATTGTTCTCATTATTAATTGAAGTCGTAATGAAATATAAATCGAGCAGATTGTGAATAATACAATCCTCGTTTTTAGATGATTTAATGATGATGATTTTTAGATGGTTTTTATTATGTAGGTGGGATCACCCATTTAGTATTAGTTTAGGACGTATGGATATAAAATGCAATTGGAACTGGGACGTCATGTCTAAAGTTGGTTTGCGATATTCATATCCTGATGTCTGTTTGCTAGGGTAAGTTAAGACTTCATATATTTCTTATTTATTTTAATTAGAATTCCTTATTATGGAACGAATCATTGATGGCTTGGAACGTAGACTCTGCCACCAGCGACTTTTTTTTATAAAGCTTCATAGTTCTATAAATGCTAAGATTAAAAAAAAATTAAGGTTTGGTATCTTCAAATTCTTTTATTATGCATTTAATCAATAATAATGAATATTATATAAAAAAAAATTTATTGCCCGTGTAGGCAGACGAGCATACGGCCCACCTGATAGTGAGTGGTTATCGTCGCCCATGGACTTCAGCAATGCCAGGGGCAGAGCCAAGCTGCTGCCTACCGAAACCTTACCTTAACCGAGCCTTATTTCAATTAAATTAATTAATTAAATTACAAATTAACTTCCCAAAGTAACAACAGATACAGAGAAAGAGAGTGTACTTTATTGCACGCTAAAACACAATTAAGATTGAATAACAGTCAACAGGTTTATTCATTGTTATGAGTAATTAATTGTAAGAATAATTGTACAATAGGTGGTCTTATCGCTAAAAGCGATCTCTTTCAGACAAACGTTTTAATCTAAAGTAATTCTGAAAAAGATACAGTAGATATTTTGCGGTGTACTATTATTAAGAATATAATTCATATATATCAGTAGTCGTCGTGGCCTAAAGGATAAAACGTCCGGTGCATTCGTATGTAGCGATGCACCGGTGTTCGAATCCCGCAGGCGGGTACCAATTTTTCTAATGAAATACGTACTCAACAAATGTTCACGATTGACTTCCACGGTGAAGGAATAACATCGTGTAATAAAAATCAAACCCGCAAAATTATTATTTGCGTAATTACTGGTGGTAGGACCTCTTGGGAGTCCACACGGGTAAATACCACCACCCCGCCTATTTCTGCCGTGAAGCAGTAATGCGTTTCGGTTCGAAGGGTGGGGTAGCCGTTGTAACTATACTTGGTGGGTGGCGCATTTGCGTAATAGATGTTTATAGGCTCCAGCTTACACTCCACAACTTAACATCGGGTGGGCTGTAAGCTCGTCCGCTAAGCAATATAAGAAAAAGTTAGAAAAATGCATGCATTTTATGTAATAAATTCCAGGAGCTGCTTTACCATGGGCCGTCCTCTTTTTGTTTCTAATATTCTAATTAAAGAAGGAACAGACTCACATTCAATGACGTCTGTTAGGAGTACTCCAAGGAATTGTTCTAAGCCAATCTGTGGGTATTTGAATTTTTACCACGGCAACACGGGTCGCGATTTGACGGTGCCTTCGCGACTTCACATGTGGTCACTTTGGCTTACTTCTTGAAAGGGACGGTACGCTCATGTGTACGGTCTATGCTACGGTTTGCATTATCACTAATCCTTATCCATTTCTGCCATAAAGCTTTCTCCCTAAGTGATACGGCGTGAGTCGACGAGGTCATCGGTTCAAGTGAGTGATTAGACAGTATTTTGTTAAAATAGTACATACGGCGCCGCGGATCGCGGCACGTGTTCGACGGGCACCTCGTGCTGGTTTCCGGAGCCCTAGGCTGCCACGAGGGCGCTGGATTTGGATCGAACAGTTTCAGATAATTCTTTTACCATCACGCCGTTTGTCATTGTATTTCCTGAGCGCTGTGACGTGTCGAGGATTGAAATGAATCTTCAGTTCTCAGCGAATTTGGCAGCGTCGCTGAGATAGCCTACGGCAAAAGCATTCAAACGTGTTTTTTAGGATTAAAGAATTACTAGTGGCCCGGAGGCCCTTCCAGTTTCATCAGGACAGGTGGGCGAGCAAATGCTCAGCCAGGAGGGGTGAGATTTGCTAACAGCTGCCCGAGCGCCTCCGAAGGAGACCTAACAACTTAAGAGCAACCCCTTCGCGAATGAATCTACTACCGGATCGGAATTGCGACCCGCTGAGAAGATCAGGCTAGAAACTCAGCGAGCTGATTCATGGGTTAGGTTGCACGTCGAGCTCTTTGTTGAGTTCGACGAGCACGGCTACCGAGGTCTCTAAACCTGCCCCTAGTGTTAGAGCTGAAGGCGTCCATTCAAACGTCTATACTTATCAATGAAACGTAAAACGATACGTATTAGATCACGTTTGTGATTTAGAAATTGTTGGGCTCTTGAATATTTGTTAACGGCAGCTCTTGACCCCGTCCTAGAAGGCGCTGCACGGTTGGCTGCACGCGAGATATTGTAACGAATAAAATTACAGATTTGCAACACGTTTTACTTAAATCAACGTTTAGTTAATAAGGTTACGCGCTGGGGTTCGGGATAAATAAAAAAATCTACCGAAGTACAAGTTAACACTGTATTAGCACTTAGAACACTTAAAACACTTCACAAGCACTTTAAAATTCTAAATTCACTTCTTCTGCTACGCTTCAGGTGATCCGTTTGCTGTTTCTCTTCGAGTAGTTCCGATTACTAAACGACTGCGTGCCATCCCTGCAACGATTTTATAGCCGATGCCACATCCTAGAATCGTCGAGAATATTCCGCAAAAGTCTACTATTGTGTGTTTCCGCTATCTGACAATAGATGGCGTTGTACTTCTTGAGCGTTCTAGATGCTACTAGATCCTCCCATATTCGTTCGACTCTTCGACGATAGATGGCGTAACTCTTACCGGCGTAACGATAATTAGAATAGTGCTGATGGATCTTGTTATTTAATGGAGGGTGTCTTGTGAGTCCGCACGGGTAGGTTCCATCACCTTACCTATTTCTGCCGTGAAGCAGTAATGCGTTTCAGCTTGAAGAGTGGGGCAGCCGTTGTACTGTAAGACTTAAGACTCATGTCTCAAAGTGGGTGGGTGGCATTAACATTGTTGGTGTCTAAGGATTTCGGTATCGATGTGTTCCATGTTTTATGAGCCACTGTGAAATCGAAGATAACAGATATCATTTTGGAACTAATATGTACGTATAACTAATGACCTAATATGTAATATTTCTGGCGTGAAGTAGTAATGCGTTTCGGTTTGAAGGGTGGGGCAGCCGTTGTACTGTAAAAACTGAGAACTTAATGTGAGCTCGTCCAACCATCTAAGCTAATAAAAAATATATACTAATTGCATTGTGTAATAAATCCGCTAAAATTATACAATTTGTGTTACTCATTTTTGCGGCTGGATTATTGGAATGTCGTCTAGGCAGATGGCAGGACAGGCCCTTTACCTTGCTAGGCTAACATCTTACTCGTTACCATTTAATTGGAATTTTAGCGCACGTGTCTCAAAATGGATGGTATTACTTAATGTCTATACGTTAATACTAGATTCGCTCGGCCACATTACGTTGCTATGCAACATTGCCTCTATTTGAAGTCAGATATATTTTTATGTTGACAACGTGTGGTATCTAACTTACATAATCATATTCCATAATATCACTAAACCTTTAGACACTTATTCTCACAGAATTAAGTTGAAGCTATGTGCAGTTGCTCACATAATATGAAATATTCTCGTGTACGGCTTTTAGGGTCAATTAATACCTGAGTGAAATACTCTGAAAGAAGTTTATGAGAAATCAATAAATGGTACCGTTTCCAGAGATCTTTTCTGTCACGTACCATCCGACTTTGAAATCAAATGCCCCTAGACGATATTCCCCGAGCGCTATGACACGTTCCTCTTCAAACGAGGCTTGCGGAGAGTACTTAATGGTAGACAGCGGCAACCGCTCAACACCAGGTCTTTATGCTTTATGAAGCTCCCGCTCAGCCCCCGTAGGGACTGTTGGGTGGCGGGTGCGGGGGCGCCCGGTACTCGACTGTCGGACCGGTGGAGGGGCGGTGCAGGGTGGCTCCTGTGCGCCGCCCACGGTGTGTTTCCCGAGACGAAGTCCTTCGGGATATTCCCGGAGATGAAATCCCGTCTTATAATCAGGACGGGTACCGGCGAAGGTAGGTCTGGTGTAGCCAGTTTGGTGGAGCTCGATTGGGTTTAGTTGATAGTTGATTTTGCGGGACGAGTGCCTGGTGCGCCTTTTTCAAGGCGTAGTCTCCTGCGAGGAATTCGGGGAGGTGGAGGAACTTGGCCCTCCTCGTCTCCCTTTTCCTCTCGGGAGGCGCCGGAGTCCGACATAACCCGGTCCGTTGCCTCCCTTGACCGGGTATACGTAAATGGATGCCCCCGCGTTACAAAAAAATACTTTATGCTTGTCTGCCTACTAGAGTATAAAGGGAAAAATTGATATTTTTACCAAAAATTGGTGAGGTAATATTTCATACTAAGGTTTAAATCAATATTTCAATATTTTTCAGAAGCCCCACAAAATCTCTTCGACGAGAAGAACAAAGAACATTGGCAGCTGCAAGCGCAATGGACATTGCGTTCGAAGGTATTTCCTGTAACCTATATCTATACTCTATACTAATATTATAAAGAGGAAAGATTTGTTTGTTTGTTTGTTTGTTTGTTTGTATTGAATAGGCTCCGAAACTACTGAACCGATTTGAAAAATTCTTTCACTGTTTGGAAGCTACACTATTCCCGAGTGACATAGGCTATAATCTTTTTTGAAAAAAAATTAGGGATCCTTACTAAAACTCCAATAATGTAACCCAAGGTGTAAAAAAATTACCTATAATATTTTTTACATCGCGGGCCCTGCGAAAACTATTGATGATAGAATAAAATAATGTACTACGACTTTGTAGAACACATTATTATTCACAAAAAATGTCGCGACAGCATATGTCTACTTATTATAGTTATGCCGCAATAAGTGTTCTTTAATTTTTTTAAATAAAACAACGTCGAATATCGTTGAAATTTTTGTTAAAGACCCGAGCGGAGCCGGAGCGGACCGCTAGTATTAATATAATCTTTATATTAATACGTGAAGCAAAAACTTTGTATTCCTTTTTACAAAAATTGCGCGGAGTATGAAATTTTCTACACTTATATAGAGAAGAAGTGCACAATGCTAATATTTTTTTTAAAATAATGCATAAAAGATACATTAAATCAATAAAGAAAACATTACACACACTACATACCATGTATTTGACGCACACACGCATGCGTACTATTTATTGTCAAACTTTTGTTCTTGACGTCCGTGATCAAATTGAGAATAGATTAAGTATTGTTTGTCTTTATTAATATTTTTTTATAGTGTAGTAGCCTTGGCGAAATTTGTGATTATAGAAGTATAAAATACAATCATAATAGTGTACAAACTTACAATTCCAATTAATTATAGTCGAATTTCGACTACTGCGGGACCACTAGTATACTTAGATCAACAATATGATAATACGTAAGGCGTTTTCTGGCCCACGCTCCTTGTTTATAGTGAACGCGCCTTAAGAATACTCGTTTACCGAATCAAGGCTACGTTCATTATGACCTTTAATAATGTTTTTGAATTGTAAAAACATGCGTCTTTTAATTTCATCACTTGGTAACTAACTAACTATGAGAACTCACAGAAAATCTATACTAATATTATAAAGAGGAAAGATTTGTTTGTTTGTTTGTTTCGAATAGGCTCCGAAACTACTGGACCGATTTGAAAAATTCTTTTTCCATTAGAAGCCGACATTGTCCCTGATGAACATCGGCTACTTTTTTTTTTTTTTTTCTTTTTTTTATTTTTTTGGTTTCATGTGTGTTTTAATGTTTCCGAAGCGAAGCGAGGGCGGGTCGCTAGTCTAGTATAATGTGGTTATAGTAGCTAGTAGTATCTACGCGAGAGTTAAGGGAGCGTTACATCAGTAGCTAGAAGTCGGTAGGGTTCCGTATCTGAATCCTTAAACGAACAGTCGAAAGACTAATATTACTGTGTCATCCCTAAATCTTTTAAAAAACAAATATAATTTTACTGGTGGCAGGACCTCTTGTGAGTCCGCACGGGTAGGTACCACCACCCTGCCTATTTTTGCCGTGAAGCAGTAATGCGTTTTGGTTTGAAGGGTGGGGCAGCCGTTGTAACTATACTTGAGACCTTAGAACTTATATCTCAAGGTGGGTGGCGCATTTGCGTTGTAGATGTCTATGGGATCCAGTAACCACTTAACACCAGGTGGGCTTTGTGCTCGTCCACAAATATCAGCAATAAAAAAATTTAATCCGTGTACTCTAATATAAAAAATGTGAATGTTTGTTTATTTGTTACTCAGTCAGCAATCTGCTTTTAGATTCAATTTCGTACAAAGATACTTTGTAAAAAACTGGATAAAACGGATGGATACGGCTTACGGATTTCTTAATTAAATATACTTTTAGTGCTTAGTCTCCCAGTATCATTACGTTTCGAATAATTTACAGTTTTCTTGATTAATTGGACAGTGCCGACTGTATCTGTTATAATAAATACAGGCTATGTTCCGATTGGCACTACGAGCACTGTAAGGTGTGACGTCAATTTGGTATAATAATATACTATACTATCTGTTATAATAAATACAGGCTATGTTCCGATTTGCACTACGAGCACTGTAAGGTGTGACGTCAATTTGGTATAATAATATACTATACTATCTGTTATAATAAATACAGGCTATGTTCCGATTTGCACTACGAGCACTGTATGATGTGGTGTCAATTTAGTATAATAATATACTATACTATCTGTTATAATAAATACAGGCTAAGTTCCGATTTGCACTACGAGCACTGTAAGGTGTGACGTCAATTTGGTATAATAATATACTATACTATCTGTTATAATAAATACAGGCTATGTTCCGATTTGCACTACGAGCACTGTAAGGTGTGACGTCAATTTAGTATAATAATATACTATACTATCTGTTATAATAAATACAGGCTATGTTCCGATTTTCACTACGAGCACTGTAAGGTGTGACGTCAATTTGATATAATAATATACTATACTATCTGTTATAATAAATACAGGCTATGTTCCGATTGGCACTACGAGCACTGTAAGGTGTGACGTCAATTTGGTATAATAATATACTATACTATCTGTTATAATAAATACAGGCTAAGTTCCGATTTGCACTACGAGCACTGTATGATGTGGTGTCAATTTAGTATAATAATATGTACCTACTACGAAGCCATTCCATTGCAGTCAGCTATACTAAACCATCTAAAAATATTTTGCTGTGAATTTAGCAATGATTTTGTATTTTTTATAAGTTAAAGTTTTTTATAAGGTACTATTTTTTAAATCCTTTAGCAATTTCTGCAAAATATGTGAAAATAAGCTAAGCACTAAAATGTTTAAATTACATTAATTCGCGTGTTTTTAATCAGTATATATTATGTATGTTGTGTTGTGTTTAGAGTTTGATTGTTATTTAACAAAAGGCGAGCTATACAGCCGTCAATTTCAAGGACAAACTTCCTATCTTAATCATTTTTCAGAACTGAATAGAAGGTAATAGGAGGCTCGACACGGCTTTTGGAAATTCATGTAACCGTCTTAATTAGTGTTTTAAAAATGTTACAGGTTTTAGCTCCTTTAAACAAGAAAGTAGCTAAGAATGTCATCTTATTTCTTGGGGACGGCATGAGCATTACAACGCTCGCCGCCACGAGAGCATACCTCGGCCAGCAGCGGGGACTAAATGGTGAAGAGCTCAAACTGAGTTTCGAAATTTTCCCGTACACCGGCTTAGCTAAGGTACGTGAATAGAAATGGCCCACTGAGTTTCTCGCCGGATCTTGTCAGTGGGTCGCGATTCTGATCCGGTGGTCGATTCTGCGAAGCACTGCTCTTGCTAAAGCTAGTTGAAGTCGTCGTGGCCTAAAAGATAAGACGACCAGTGCAATCGAGCGATGCATCGATGTTCGAATCCCGAAGACAAGTTACAGATTTTTTCTAATGAAATACGCACACAACAAATGTTCACGATTGACTTACACGGTGAACGAATAACATCTTACTTATGGTAGGACGTCTTGTGAGTCCGTACGGGTAGGTACCACCAGCCTGCCCATTTCCGCCATGAAGCAGTAATGCGTTTCGTTTTGAAGGGTGGGGCAGCCGTTGTAACTATACTGAGACCTTAGAACTTATATCTCAAGGTGGGTGACGGCATATACGTTATAGATGTCTATGGGCTCCGGTAACCACTTAACACCAGGTGGGCTGTGAGCTCGTCCACCCACCTAGGCAATAAATAAAAATTAGCAAATTCTCTCAGGTTAAGCCCGTCTTACTCGTCCGCGAGAACATGGAATAACCCCTTTGTTTTAAGTATATTATATAGAAAATATAGTATACTATATAGAAAATTTAGTATATTATAAAATATAGTATACAGAAAAGATTCGCTCCTGCTTGCTAGATTCGAACACCAGCATAATGGCATCGGTCGATAAGAATGTTGTGTTGTGTGTTATTATAAATGCATACAATATTTTATTCTCAATTTACCTACCACAGCACTCTGTACTCTCCTGTTTGACTGACAGAGAGCACCTTAAGTACTAAGTTCGCTACTGTTTCATTAACGAAATTAACATTAGTAAAATTCTCCAAAATTCCAGACGTATTGTGTAGATAATAACGTAGCGGACTCTGCGTGTAGTGGTACCGCGTATCTGACTGGAGTGAAGGCCAACAGTGGAACTGTAGGTCTTACCGCCGCCGTCAAGAGAGGAGACTGCGAAGGACAAATTGAAGGCAGACATTCTGTCACCGGACTTATGGATTGGGCGCAACGGGCCGTCAAATCTACTGGTAAAACATACATATTTAGAATGCTCTTACATTTGGAGTGCTCGAGATGATACCGGCATCTCGTTTTTACCATCGCACCGCCCGCCACCGGAGTAGAGTTCGTCCATACTACCTGGAGCCACTGCGGTCATCCACAGTGCGTTTCCAGATGTCTTTTTTGCCACGTACCATCCGGCTATGAAATGAGCTCCCCTCCATGGTGTTTCCCGAGCGCTATGACATGTCCTTCTACAAACGAGGCTTGTGGAGAGTATTAAGCGGTAGGAAGCGGCTTGGCTCTGCCTCTGGCATTGCTGAAGTCCATGGGCGACGGTAACCACTCACCATGAGGTGGGCCGTATGCTCGTCAGCCTAAAAGGGCAATAAAAAAAATAATTATGTATAAATGTTGTTTAAGAACAACAAAAAACACGCTAAAATAGCAAAACACATTAACAATTAATTTCGTCCTTTATCCTGTTATTAGTGGTCAGGTTATTAAAGCGTATTAATAAAATAATTGTTTCATCTTCGGTCCTTGGTACGTGTGAAACATTTAAGGTTAATCAAACGTTTGTAGTCGGTGGCGATGATGTTCAAAGCTTATGTCACAAACAGACAAACCAACAAACAATATAATATACATACATGCAGTGTATAGGAAACAGAAACGGTAATTACTAACTCTAAAGTAAAACTCAAAGTTTCAAAATCTCTAGAGCTAAAGTTTACAAACAATTCACGAAATTCTACCACACTAGAGTTCAAGGGGATGAGTTAATAAGCTCAAGCCAATGTCAATTTCAAATAGTAGGTACAGATATCATTCAGTAGAATCATTTGCGCCGTATCTTCTCAGCGGGTCGCGGTTCCGATCCGGTAGTAGATTCATTCGCGAAGCAGCTGCTCTTGAGTTGTTAGGTCGCTTTTGGAGGCGCTCAGGTAGTTGTTAGCAAATCCTGGCTGAGCCTTTGCTCGCCTACCTGTCCTGGTGAAACTGTAAAGGCCTCCGGGCCACCAGTAATCCTTCAAGTTATCTTTCCTTCATAAAAAAACAATCACTTAATCAATGTATGTACGTATGTAGTCACGTTACTTAATATAAATTAAATTACATTTTTAGATAAGTTAATTTTTTTTATTGTTTTGATTGGTGGACGAATTCACGGCCGACTTGATGTTAAGGGGTTATCGGAGCCCACAAACATCTACAACGTAAATGCCGCCACCTACCTCGAGACATGAGGTCTAAGTTATCAGTTTTTCAGGTGCCTCAGCCTTCAAACCGAAAGAAATTCAACAATTACTGATTAAATTCCAGGTCTCGTGACCACAACACGAGTGACCCACGCCACTCCCGCCGCCGCATACGCTCATTCAGCCGATAGGAGATGGGAAGCTGACACCGATCTTCCAAGCAAAGGCCCTCGCTGCGATGACATAGCGACGCAATTAGTTAGAGGACGTATCGGCAGTAAAATTGATGTAAGGCTTCAATTACTCTACCAGCCTTTCCCAAAGTGGGCGATAACGCCCCCTTTTGGGCGCTGCAGGCCTAATGGGGGGCGGTAAGAGACCCAGAAAAAAATTGGGGCGTTGTGTAGAGGCTTGGGAGGCGATTTGTAATTTCATCTTAGAGGACTTTTAGACACCGACTAAGCTCTCGCTATAGTGGTTTTTAAGTGAAAAAAAGGGGGCGATAAAAATAATTTATTCTCAAAGTGGATAGTAGACAAAATAAGTTTGGGAACCACTGCTCTAGACGGTTCAACTTTCCCGCAGTCTACATAAACTAGTGCTATATGGTGATCGGAGCCCATGGACTAAGTGAATGTAACTATGTAACTGCCTACCATGAGATACGAGGTACAGCCGTTGTTCATACTCCCGGGATGTTTTTTCCATAAAATCATCAAAGCACGAAAGCTAGTACGTGAGCCCAGACAATGTATGTTTTTTATTTGTCGTGTCGTCGTGGCCTAAAGGATAAGTCATCCGGTGTGTTCGTATCTAGCGATGCAACGGTGTTCGAATCCTGCAGGCGGGTACCAATTTTTCTAATGAAATACGTACTTATCAAATTTTCACGATTGACTTCCACGGTGAAGGAATAGCGTCGTGTAATAAAAATCAAACTCGGAAAATTATAATTTACGTAATTACTGGTGGTAGGACGTCTGGTGAGTTTGTACGGGTATGTACCACCACCCTGCCTATTTCTGCCGTGAAGCAGTAATTTGTTGTACTATACATGCCTTAGAACTCATATATATCAAGGTAGGTGGCGGCATTTACGTTGTAGATGTCTATGGGCCCCGGTGACGACTGAACATCAGGTGGGCCGTGAGCTCGTCCAGCAACCTAAGCAATAGAAAAAAACATCGGAATATTCGAGAAATGTCCGTTTGTAAACATGTATTGGACATGTTCACAGTTTCAGTGTTTTATGTATTTAGATTATTTTAAATCGTTCACAGGTGGTCCTTGGTGGAGGTCGACACAATTTCTATCCTAAAAACGAGATAGACCCCGAAGGATACTCCGGTTATCGAAGCGATGGTGTCAATCTAGCAAGGGAATGGTTGATTAAGAAGAAATCGCAGGGACGCACCCCGAAATACCTTTACAATAGAAACGACTTACTGAATCTTAAAGTCAACGAATACGACAGCTTATTAGGTTTGTTCAGCCCTGATCACATGCCGTATCATTTGGAAGCTGACGGTGATGATCCGACGCTGACGGAAATGACTAGGAAAGCCATTGAAATGCTGTCGAAAAACAAAAACGGATTTTTCTTGTTCGTTGAAGGTACGTAGCTACTGGGCCCGCGGCTTCGCCTGCAACAAAATGCAATTTTATATTAAAACATAAAAGCCATAAGACGATTCAGAAAGCTAATTACATACGTAAGTTGATTTCAGTTGAATATATTATACATATACACATACATTCTATGTTATAATATACATAGATTTCACATCAATCGACCTATGGTGCAAAAGATAAAAATCTCTAAGTTCACTAAAATCACAAAAATGTTCGTCAGTTTTTTTTCCTACGTACTCTAGTAATCTCGAGGGGTCATACTAGATTCATCGAGTAAGTGAGCTCACAGGACTCTAATCTGGTGACGTTGCTAACACTAGCCTCAGCAAGAGCAGTGCTTCGCAGAATCTACTATCGGATCGAAAACGCGACCCACTGAAAAGATTCGCCGGAGTAGTCATATCGCTCTTTATATGTGTACAAAGTTTCACATCAATTGGGCTAACAGTTCTCGAGTTTTAGATGAACATATTACACTCATACATTCACTTCATATGTATAAACTGAAGGTGTTTAGAGAAATTAAATTTAGGTTGGTTTCGTAATTATCAGTATACAACGATCTAAATGGTAGGATATGAAAACTGGTCAGCAACTTCGGCTTCATTCTATAAGATCCCTTTGCCTCGAATCGATACTATGAAGAAGAAAATATCAAGCAATTTTATCCTGTTAACCGCCTATAATTCGACTCGAGGACAAATTTGTAAGGAATTGTGTTTGGTAGTTTGAACATAAAAGTAGCAACAGGAAAATTCATTTCCTCCTTTTAAGTACTCACGTTGGAATAGGAAGCCAACCGTGGATTGCTTCCTCTAAATCAACTTCGAAACTATTTTCTTCTATTTATGGTTAGCAATTGAACAGCAACAACTAAGCGATAGTAATCGTAACGACCATTATTTTTGTGAAATATGAGTGATCACCAAATTTCAGAGAAACTTTCAATGTTTGAGTGTATGTTTAGGTAAAATAAGATAGAACATTTTAATACACACACTGAAACACAATTGACGTTGAAAATAAATAATTGTTTACTGGTGGTAGGACCTCTTGTGAGTCTGCGCGGGTAGGTACCACCACCCTGCCTATTTCTGCCGTGAAGCAGTAATGCGTTTCGGTTTGAAGGGCGGGGCAGCCGTTGTAACTATACTTGAGACCTTACAACTTATATCTCAAGGTGGGTGGCGCATTTACGTTGTAGATGTCTATGGGCTCCAGTAACCACTTAACATCAGGTGGGCTGTGAGCTCGTCCACCCATCTAAGCAATAAAAAAAAAAAACCCTGCCTATTTCTGCCGTGAAGTAGTAATGCGTTTCGGTTTGAAGGGCGGGGCAGCCGTTGTAACTATACTTGAGACCTTGGAACTTATATCTCAAGGTGGGTGGCGCATTTACGTTGTAGATGTCTATGGGCTCCAGTTACCACTTAACACCAGGTGGGCTGTGAGCTCGTCCACCCATTGTTTATCAACTAGATTTGATTCATTAAAACTGAACTGCTATGTGTACTGATTTGGTGGAGTGGTATTTTTTGCTGTCTGCTGGGCCGAGGTTCGTGGGTTCGGTTCCTACGTGGGGCAAACATTCGTGTGACAAACAAACGAGTATGCTCTTCGTCTGAATGTTTAAGTCCTGTATATACTATATATACAACACCACACCACACCGTAAATGCCGATTACCGTATTTGCTGGTCTTTGATTACTTAATAGACTTAGTTAGGTCTCGTATATCTATATATTAATACGTGAAGCAAAAACTTTGTATCCCTTTTTACGAAAATTGCTCGGACGGAGGAGTATGAAATTTTCCACACTTATAGAGAATATACAGAAGTGCACAATGCTAATATTTTTTAAAAATAATGCATTAAAGATACATTAAATCAATAAAGAAAACATCACACACACTACCATGTATTTGACACACACACATATACTCTTTGTTAATTGTCAAAATTTTGTTATTGCTTAAAGTCTGTAGTCAAATTGAGAATAGGTTAATATTGTTTATCTTTAATATTACGAGCATTTGTCTATAGTGTAGTCTTGGCGAAATCTGTAACAATAGGACCATAATAATGTTGAAACTTATAAATTCAATTAATTATAGTCGAATTTCGACTACTGCGGGAGCACTAGTAAAACTAAAAATAGCCGACATACCGCCAACCTTTAATACCTTTCAAAACAATTTAAATTGCGTACGCAAAAGCTTCAAGAATCATCGTCTCATTAACATGTATAGTACCATTCGTCCACGAGCTTTTTAATTTAGGTGGAAGAATAGACACGGCGCATCACGAAACGAAAGCTCGCAAAGCTTTGGATGAGACAGCAGAGTTCGCGAAAGCCGTTGAAGCGGCCGTCAGGATGGTGGACGCCGAAGAGACCCTAATCGTTGTGACATCGGACCACAGTCATACGATGACATACAGTGGATACAGTAAGAGAGGCACCGATATCCTAGGATTTACCAATAAGGTAATTTCTGTTTTATGAACCACGAATTAGTTTTAGGGTCCATTGACGCTTAAAGAAATAGCTATCGAAATATTATAAGTGTTTATAAAATAGTGTGATTGACTTATTTATTTCTCAGTGAAAGTTTTCCGCTAATATGGTAGTAAATAACAAGCCACACATGTAACAGCTTCACAAAAACACGAAGGGACTATGGCTATATGAATCTAAGTCGTTGAATTTTTATCAACTATACAGATCACCTTTGCGATCAATCTGGCGGAGGCAATTTTTCAGGAGCTACGTCTATTTTATTGCGCTAGACGGGTAGGCAGGCTAATAAGCCTATCTGTTGTTAATCATAGACATCAAATTATATTTGGCCATGAGTTCGAAGTCAACAGGTGGGCCGTATGCTCGTCTGCCTACAAAGGCAATAAAAAAAAAAAGTCACAATTGAATTGTATAACGACAATCCTACCTTTTTTAATAATTTAGGAAGGTTGAAAGGGTAGGATGCGATAGGATGCGATAGAATTCTGTTAACTGCGCATTTATTTTTACACGATCTTGATAGCGTCATCGTGAATTTTGTTTATTAACCATGTATTTCTTTAGAAAAATTACTACCTTTTTGTAGGATTTGAACAACGACATAGTCGCAACGCTTAAAGCGAATTCACCAAGCGTACCTAATTTACGTGAGTTAAAACAGTTCTTTTCAAGATTATAATTATTTTTTTCAGCTGAACGCATCAGACAGTCTTCCGTATACAACATTAAGCTACGCCAACGGCCCGGGATATAAGCCACACGAGAAGTTTTTGAGACACAATCTTATGCTTGACGATATAAGTGAGTGTTTATCTAATCTATTATAATACTAGCTGACTCGGCAGACTTCGTAATGCCTCAATCGATAAATAAAATACCTAAAGTTTTGTATAAAATAAACTTAAAACAAACAAAAGGAATCTGTCCGACGGAGGGGACATCTAAGGGAAAGCAAATTTCTTATTTTTATTTAATTCCGAGTATTGTCTTATTTATCTACCTTTTAAACCTTCTCTGGACTTCCACAAATAATTCAAGGCCGAAATTAGGCAAATCGGTCCAGCCGTTTTCGAGTTTTAGCGAGATTAACGAACAGCAATTCATTTTTATTTATAGAGATTATATTGTTAATAGTCCCATTTGTAGTACATCTATGAGCTTCATTATGTAGATGTGTGTTATAGTTATTAGATAGCCTAAAGAGCTATTCCAATTACGCGTTGAACGGTAGGTGAGCTCACGGGCTCAACCTGAGAGAGTTGTAACACTGGCCCTAGCAAGAGCAGTGCTTCGCTGAATCTACCACCGGATCGGAAACGCGACCCACTGAGAAGATCCGGCGAGAAACTCAGTTGGGGTCTATACAACAATTAACGAAAACATATTTTGAAGTCGTCGTGGCCTAAAGGATAAGACGTCCGGTGCATTCGTGTTGAGCGATGCATCGGTGTTCGAATCTCAGGCGAGTACCAATTTTTCTTATGAAATACGTAATCGACAAATGTTCACGATTGACTTAATAAAATAAAATCAAACCCGTAAAACTATAATTTGCCATATAAAAAAAATGCCACATATGTATGAAGCTGTTTCATGTTGAAACAATGTTACGCGAGTAAAAAATTAATTTTAGATTCAAACGGAAATTCGTTTATTTGAATTGAGTCACAAAAGTTTCATTTAGTTAAATTTTATATAAAGGGGAAATGTGGATACGGAAAAGTGACAGTCAGCGGAAACATAAATTCTATGGTATTCTACAGAACGTAGTTCGCATTATACAAATATTACCGACGAATTTCTTAAATCTGAATTTTGTGTGAATAAAATTTTTGTGGGGACATTTTCGCTTACAATGCGTAAGTAATCGACCGTGATAAATTCCAAGTCGAAACGGTGATAATAAATCCCCAGATATGGGCGTAAATTATTTATTCCACATTTACCGGTTCCAAGCCAGGATTACATTCTGATAAGGACGCCGGAAATACATACGAGATAAGAACACAATAGACTTTGAATATTGTTAGCATATTTCAATTTTTATGATTATCTATTTTTTGTTTATTATATAACCGCTATGCACCTCCACTCACATCTGGACTACTAACTCCCTTGGACTGTACCCTATGTCCTTCTTCACACAAGGATCGAAAACCTCAGCTGTCGGTGAGACCTATTGCCGTAGAAATTCTCGTCACAGCTCTCGAACCACAATTGCCATTCAGAGCATTTTGAAACGACTACTTAGCGGGAAAACGAGAGGCGAACGTGTAGCAATAGTTGTTAATATTTTTTTTCCTACCTAACCTACCCACCCTTGAGAGGCTATTTCAGCGTAACCTTAACTAGTAGGTGAGCTCACGGGGCTCAAACCGGAGTGATTCTGACCCTAGCAAGAGCAGTGCTTCGCAGAATCTACCATCGGATCGGAAACGCGACCCACTGAGAAGATCCGGCGAGAAACTCAGTGGGCTGTGTCTGTGGGTTAATTCGCTCGTCGAGCCCTTCGTCGCAAGCGACGGGTTCGATGAGGACGGTGACCGGTACTTGTGGTACCTAAAAGCTCCGTTAATGGATCTGGAGGATCCGTAATGAAGTGCATTGGGCATTGTTGTTAAAAATATGAGACCATTAAAATATATTTTCAATATTTATCCTCAGATCATCTGAACTTCACCTATCCATCGCTGGTGCCCATAGTTCGCGAGACCCACGGCGGAGAGGATGTCGCTGTCTACGCCACGGGACCATGGTCTCATCTCTTCACCGGCAACTACGAACAGAATTATCTTCCTCATGCGATCGCCTACGCAGCTTGCATTGGAAACGGCCTGACGTCGTGTCAATCGCTATAAAGGACAATGCCCATTTTCTTTGGGCGTTTGGGCCCCTAAAAAAAGTTATCGTGTCATTATGGTTTTAACTTAATTTTATAGACAAAGAAATATCGTTTCTTAATCAGAAAACGATTTTTATATTCTCAACCAGGTTTAAGAGAAATCTGTTTTTTTCTGCAGCTAAAATTAAGTTGTTATTTGTGTTCTTCGAAATCAAGAATCGCACTCATAATTATTTACACTGTTAAATAAGTTAACTGTGGTTAATGTTGCTAGAAATAAGCCCTTATGTAAATTATTATTGTTATAATATCCTCATAATAACAATAATAAAATGAAGGTGGTTTCTGAGAATGGACTTCATTGACCCTTCTTCCGGAAATGAAAATCCTTGTGACTTGTGATATTTAAATCTGAATTCAAATTTGAATTTGTATTTTCTCGAGTAAATAAATGAACGTGCCGAAAACAATGATTCAATTAACATGTTTAAAATATTTTGCGTAATTTTTACACGTGCCTCAAATTGTTGAAATGAGTGAAGTATTTAATCTGTGTGTTCCGTATAAGTTATAATAGTAAGATCTGATATCCAATATTGGAATGATTTAAATTAAAAATATTCCAAATTGTAATTTATATTGTAATTGTTGTATTACGATTACGCGGTCATGTTAACGAAAATATTTCTGTAATTTGTTTGCGATTTATTGAAATGGTAGATAGATCCTACTTTATGTTTCTGAGTGTGGTGAGTATTTATAATGTCTTCTGAGCTTGACTAACTAATTGGACTCAATTAGTAAGTTGTCGTGGCCTAAAGGATAAGACGTCCGGTGCATTCGTGTTGAGCGATGTAACGGTGCTCGTATCCCACAGGCGGGTACCAGTTTTTTTTTTTTCTAATGAAATACTTACTCAACATATGTTCACGATTGACTTCCACGATGAAGGAATAGCATCGTGTAATTAAAATTATTATTTGCGTAATTATTGGTGGTAGGACCTCTTGTGAGTCCGCACGAGTAGGTACCACCACCCTGCCTATTTCTGTCGAGAAGCAGTAATGCGTTTTGGTTTGAAGGGTGCGGCAGCCGTTGTAACTATACTGACACCTTATAACTAATAACTTATATCTCAAGGTGGGTGGCACATTTATGTTGTAGATTTCTATGGGCTCCAGTAACCACTTAACACCAGGTGGGCTGTGAGCTCGTCCACCCATTTAAGCAATAAAAAAAACCTATTTCTTTGACAGGTGAATATGCTAGCAATTCAAAGCTGTTTAAAATTCCTGATTTTATTATTATTTTGTAAATTAAAACATTTAGAAAATACGTGATTATATTAAAGTATTTAGACATAAGTTTGTAAGTGTTCATTTTGTAATTTTGTAAATAAATGATAGTCATACTTATTTTTGATTTTGCGCCATGTGATAATGAAGTACACCCATTTAATGAAATTACCTACTGTATTAAAAACTTAAAACACTTTACAAACACTTTAAAACTCTCAATTCGTTTCTTCCGCTTCGCTTCAGGTGATCCGTTCGCTGTTTCTCTTCGAGTAGTTCCGATTATTGACTGACTGCCTGCCATCTCTGCAACGCTTTTATAGTCGATACCACATCCTTAGAATTATCGAGAATATTCCATACATTTCGAGTATTGTGTTTCCGCTCCCTGACAATAGATGGCGTTGTACTTCTCGAGCGTTCTAGGTGCTAATAGATCCTTCGATATTCGTTCAACTATTCGGCGATAGATCGCGTTACTCTTACCGGCGCGGCGTAACAATATTATACGCTACCATGCGTAAGAGGTGTGCATCTCTGGTAAGCAGAGTGAGGGCCAGCTCCAACAGTATCCTAAGCATGATCGCAAGCAGGCTGGACTGTGTATACATGGGTCGCTGTGGTGCCATCTCCCATGGGATGTTACGACAGTAATTCATTGTGATGTAAATATAACTACTAACATAGGTGTAAGTCATACTAACAATTTGTATGAGTCATGGTTACTTGCAATAAAAACATTATTATTATTATTATTATTAATATTCATTCCAGAAATGAATGTACCGCAAAAGACCTTTGGAAACGTACTGTGGATAAACGCGGTGCGGAGCTGCATAATAATAGAACATCGTTCCAGGTAGTATGGATAAGCTATCCTGACCTGGCACTGCTCGGTTCTAAAAGATTGATTAACTGTAAGTAAGACTACTTGCTTTTTTTGTGAAAATTCATATAGCTGACAGCTAAGCTAAAATTTTCATTTCAAAAATACATAATTTATTCTATCCCAATCTCCGACGTTCTTTCGCTATGATTAATGAACTCGGTTTTATTTTTTTGAATGCAAATTCATTCGCCCCTTCATCGCTTCTTGTGAGTAATAACAATGCCCTCAAATATTGTTTAAATAACGCGAAATAATGTGTGTTATAATTTATGTCAAAAAAATCTTATACATAAAAATACTCGTGCCAAACAAGATATCATGTATTTCCTCTTCACTACATAGTATAAAACAAAGTCGCTTTCTCTGTCTCTATATCTGTCTGTCGCTATGTATGCTTAAATCTTTAAAACTACGCAACGGATTTTGATGCGTTTTTTTTTAATAGATAGAGTGATTGAAGCGGAAGGTTTATATGTATAATAAAATCCATTAAATAGTGGAGAAATCAATAATAAATTACAGTTTCCGAAGCGAAGCGAGGGCGGGTCGCTAGTTAATTATATTCCATTATTTGAAAAAATATTTAGAGCGCAATGGAAAGCGTTCGAATTTCCGAAATTGTAATGAATTTATATGAAATCAAATACCATTGAATGAAGCTGTAGCGTACTTATACAACTATTCAAATACTTGCGCACGACTAAATGTAACTTCACAGAACTTGACGCCTGCGACTTTTCACCTGAAGTTATAATTTGCGAGTCTGGTGATTTCAAATTCAATACAAATACGCTACAAGACGATTTCGGGTGCAATTATTTAACTGAACTTTTTGGAAGAGGACGACATGTCACGGATTGCGATTTTATTTATTTTCCAACGCATGGTGTCGTCGTGGTCTAAAGGATAAGACGTCCGGTGCATTCGTATCTAGCGATGCAACGGTGTTCGAATCCCGCAGGCGGGTACCAATTTTTCTAATGAAATACGTACTTAACAAATGTTCACGATTGATTTCCACGGTGAAGGAATAACATCGTGTAATAAAAGTAGAGCCTGCAAAGTTATAATTTGCGTAATTACTGGTGGTAGGACCTCTTGTGAGTCCACACGGGTAGGTGCCCCCGCCCTGCCTATATCTACCGTGAAGCAGTAATGCGATTCAGTTTGAAGGGTGGGGCAGGCGTTGTACTGTAAAAACTGAGACATTAGAAATCGTATCTCAAGGTAGGTGGCATTTACGTTGTAGATGTTTATGGGCTCCAGTAACCACTTAACACCAGGTGGGCTGTGAGCTCATCCACCCATATAAGCAATACAGAAAAGAAAAAAAAACGTGCATGCTTAGAGGCGCTAAACAGTTCATATTCCAATATTATGTCACGTGTAGACCTGAAATTGTTTTCGTTAAAAGCACGCTTAAAATAGAAAAAAACTACCAACCCTGCGTAAGTTACGCAAATTAAAAAAAATTGAATAAATCTTTACTGTATATTGTTATATGTATTCAATGTTTTGTCATTAAATAATCTTATATATAATATAAAAGAAAGTCGTCTTAGTTACACTATTTATAACTCAAGAATGGCTAAACTGATTTGGCTGAAAATTGGTGAGGAGATAGCTTAGAATCAGGAGAAGGATATAGGATACTTTTTATCACGTTCCCGTGGGACGTGACATAAAACGTTGTATATGTATAAAAAAGGCAGTTGATATGGAATAACAAAACGCAACTGACAGCTAAACGTAATATAGTCTATGGTTAATTATAGTAGAATTTTGAAGTTGACGTGTTTAAAACAAACTGTGTGGCGGAACAAAGTTCGCCGGGTCCGCTAGTATTTATTATATTATTATTATTTGATGAGCTAACTGAACAACACTAAAAATTGATAACGTTTAATATTTAAAAAAGCACGCTTAAAAGGCGAAAACACAGAAGTTATTTGAATAACGCCCTTATGCGATGCTGTAGGTTTACGAGTATATCAATATTATTATTTACTACTTGGTCGGTTGTCATAGAAAAATGTTTTGTTATGGGAAACTTATCGCGAAACGCACACTGGAGCGTTACGATGGAGTAATGTAAACAAAACTAGGGCAATGGGGCACACTACGTATCGGGATCGACCAATAAATACTTTACGCCAAATTAAATTGAACTTAATGATTTCATTTTGCTTGATTTGAAAATGCCAATCGAATCTTTGTTTCAACGAAATTTTAAATTTAGAAACTGAAGATACCATTTTAATTTTTTTTTATCTAATAAGCTTGTCCCAGAGAGAGTTTCCTTACGGTGAAGGATCCGTGAAGGAGGATGGATTGTGTTTTATCTTATACAAAAGTCATCTTTTTTCTAAGACAATTAAAATTGACTATTACTGCTATGTCACTGTTTGTTTTTTTTATAAATTAGTTAGAAAACAGAAAGCTTTATTGGTGACGTGTTGTGAGTCTGCTGGGTAGATACCACCGCCCTGCTTATTTCTACTGTGAAGCAGTAATGCTTTTCGGTTTGAAGAGTGGGGCAGCCGTTGTAACTAAACTGTTACCTTAGTACTGTTGTCTCAAGGTGGGTGGGGGTATTTACGTTGTAGATGTCTATGGGCTCCGGTAAGCACTTAATAGGCCGTGAGCTCGTCCACCCATCTAAGCAATAAAAAATCCTCTTAAATTATTTGTAATATCTCTTTTATTGAGAGGAAAGATTACTGGTGGTCCGGAGGCCTATCCAGTTTCATCAGGACAGGGAGAGCAAAGGATTAATCAGGAGGGAAGGGATTTGCTAACAGCTGCAATTTTCTTTTGTGAAATACCTAAAAGAAACTTCAACCTAATTTTTTCCGGTCGGAGCTATTATTCCTTTTGTACTCTAGTGACTATATTCTAGTCGGTTGAGTTATGTTTCAAAAACGGGGCAATATTTATTTTAATTCTTTCTTAGCATATTCCGTCGCTTGTCAGCAATAGGACCGCTGATGTGAAATTACTTAAAAGAAATTACTTATGTATATCCTATTAATCCTACTAATATATATGTTACATATAAGGTTGTAAGAATGTATGGATGTATGTTTGTTAGTCTTTCACACAAAACTACTAAATGATTTTTTTTTTTTTTTCTTAGATTGGTGGACGAGCTCACAGCTCACCTGATGTTAAGTGGTTACTGGAGCCCATAGACATCTACAACGTAAATGCGTCACCCACCTTGAGATATAAGTTTTAAGGTCTCAGTAAAGCTACAATGGCAGCTCCACCCTTCAAACCGAAACGCATTATTGCTTCACGACAGAAATAAGCAGGGTGGTGGTACTTACCCGTGCGGACTCACAAGAGGTCCTACCACCAGTAATTACGCAAATTATAATTTTGCGGGTTTGATTTTTATTGCACGATGTTATTCCTTCACCGTGGAAGTTAATCGTGTACATTTATTAAGTACGTATTTCATTAGAAAAATTGGTATCCGCCTGAGATTCGAACACCGGTGCATCGCTCAACACGAATGCACCGGACGTCTTATCTTTTTAGACCACGACGACTTCTGACTTTAATGAAACTTTACAATAATACACATCAAAATGACACATAGGCTATAATTGAATTGAAGTGTGAATTACCTAAAATATAAGGTTAAGTGTCAACTAAATAGGAACAAATCTGCCATCTGGTGAGGTATTCTGGCGTGCGCTGCAAAAACCGTTGTATTTACAGGTTTAAAATGTAAAATGGAAATGTTTATCTTAAAGTATAGTCCCACAAAAAAGATATATCTATCACTGATATGCGTTTCGGCTTGAAGGGTGGGACAGCCGTTGTAACTATACTGAGACCTTAGAACTTATATCTCAAGGTAGTTGGTACATTTACGCTGTAGATATCTATGGGTTCCAGTAACCACTTAACACCAGGTGGGCTGTGAGCTCGTCCACACAAATAGGCGATAAAAAAAAATATGTAAGCAATTGTCCCAAAATAGTTAATCATGAATATTCATGAATATCAGAAGAGGAAAGGTTAGATTTTTTGTTTGTTACGTTTTCTTTATTGTGTTTCTTACTGTCAGAACTAGATTTGCGTAAAAGAAAATTCAATAGGATCAATAATAAATTACGGCTTCCGAAGCGAAGCGAGAGTGCGTCGCTGTAAATCTATACTAATATATAAATCTACAGTGGTTTTTACGGATGTTCCGTTATAACTACTGAACCATACATCCGATTGACTTGAAACTTGGTATCCATGTAGAAAATACATGTACTTAATGGATAGGCTAATATTTATATGAATGTTGGACTCCCTAATAATAATGACAATAAATATTAATGTTAATTTTAAATGGCCATCGAAGCGGGCGAGTACGGCTTGTAATATATATTATAATATTTGGTTTTAAGTATAATTTCTCGCACATCCATTGATCTAAGATTTCAACAACAGAACTGTCAATCGCCCTTAAGCCATGCAAATTAAAATGTCTCTCCAACCGAACATTCACCCTTTGACAGGCGATTTGGTACCCAGACACTTTATTAACGTATACATTTAATTATTTTTATGTACTTAGATGTGATGTATGTAGTTATGTACTTATGTAGAGTTACCGAAAATGGTTTATCGGAAAATTACCGTTTTTTTCAGAATAGTTTGTTTTTATTGCACTAAAGTTTAGTCTCACGGCTTATTAGTTGTTAAGGTCACTGGAGCATATCACGGCGTACGTAAATGTCGCTTCTTACTTTGGGGCCTGTGGTCGAAATCTTTATAGTACAACGGCTGATCCACCATTTAAACCGGTCCGCATTCATTATTCGCAGCAAAAATAAAGATATAGGTAGACTGGTGGTATTCACAGGAGCGGGCTCAAAGACGCATTAGAACTAACACGTTCTTCATATACTGAAAGAAGCCGCAGCCGATATTGAATAAAAAAGATAAATTAGCATTAAGAAAAGACGAACTGCAAGCATATCCCGAACGCAAAACCATTAAGTCAGTTAATTAAATAAAGGTCTATACTTACAAGTTTATTTTATTTTATTTATTTATGTACACACAGAAAACAAGACACAGTACAGAGTAATAGGAAAATTATGTACAAAGGCACTGCTTATTTCTTTGAGAAATCTCTTCCAGCAGACCTGCGAGAGGAAATAAAAAGTGATAAGTGTGTGTAGAACAAATAACACATAACTAAAATAACAAATACAACATGAGAATTATAGCACATACACATACCAAATATTATAAGTAACACAGTAACACTCGTATGTACGAAGAGTATAGAACCATGATCATTCGGTTGATGAGTTTATATTCATTGTCTTGTAATATTTCGGTCAGATCTCACAATAATGTTTTTTTCCTTGAAGAAAAACTTATTTTATGCAAAAGCACTTGAGTTGTTATTCTCTTTCTCACATTGTATTATAGAAATGACCTCCCTTTGCGTACCGCTTCAGTAGTTGTTTCGATTTTACCACCCTATTCTCTTTTAAATTATCAGTTAAGAAATGACCAGCACGTCTCTTATAGGCTGCAAGTCATTAAACCAGTTAATTAAATAAAGGCCTATACAAGTTTATATTCATTGTCTCGTAATATTTCGGTCAAATCTCACAATAATGTTATTTTCCTTGAAGTAAAAACTTATTTTATGCAAAAGCTCTTGAGTTGTTATTCTCTTTCTCACATTGTATTATAGAAGCTTTGAGATAGCTTTGAGAAGCTATCGGAGCCTATTGGATCGTGGCAAAAATAGTGAAGAAATTTTGACATGCCATTACCATGGACAAATCTCCCAGGAACCCGAATGTTTCTGTATTGAACTTATACATACAAGATTTTCTTGAAATTATCATTAGCGCGTTTTGCGTTTTTACCGCATTTTGTTCAATTCTGTTAAAGATATATACAAAGCTTAAACGTATGGGTTCAAAAAACGTAGACCTAATGAATAACGTACTTAATAAAATATGCTCACGATTGACTTCCATGATGAAGGAATAATATCGTGTAGTAATAAAAATCAAACCCGCAAAATTGTAATTTGCGTAATTACTAGTGGTAGGACCTTTTGTGAGTCCGCACGGGTAGGTTACCCCCACCCTGCCCATTTCTGCTGTGGAGCAGTAACGCGTTTCGGTTTGAAGGGTGGGGCAGCCTTTGTACTGTTAAAAGTGAGACCTTACAGCTCATATCTCAAGGTGGGTGGCGGCATTTACATTATAGATCTCTATGTGTTCCGGTAACCACTTAACACCACGTGGGCCGTGAGCTCGTCCACCCATCTAAGCAATAAAAAAAACAAAAAAAAAACATCAAAACAAACTCAGAATATCATCAATATAATCGAAGTCAATTAAAAGCATTCGGTCGCTTCGTGATAATGTTTTTAGTTTCCAAAGCCTTCAACTTAAAAAGAGTCATTAAAAACGGGTCAAATTTGAAAATTTATTAAACATAAAAAACAAAAAACGGTCGAATTTAGAACCTCCTCAGTTCTTTAAGTCGGTTAAAAAGTAATTGAGACTTCAACTGATAACAATAATAATTATTTACCGCATTTAAACTATCGTTTTTGAATTCTAACATTTCTATACTAATATTATAAAGAGGAAAGATTTGTTTGTTTGTTTGTATTGAATAGGCTCCGAAACTACTGAACCGATTTGAAAAATTATTTCACTGTTTGGAAGCTACACTATTACCAAGTGACACAGGCTGTAATATTTTTTGAAAAAATTAGGGATCCTTACTAAAACTCCAATAATGTAACCCAAGGTGTAAAAAAATTACCTAAAATATTCTTTACACGGCGTGCCCTGCAAAAACTATTGATGATAGATTAAAATAATTCACTACGACTTTGTAGAACACATTATTATTTACAAAAAGTGTCGCGACAGCATAATTATATTTAACTATTATAGTAATGCTGCAATAAGTGTTCTTTTATTTAAAAAATTAAAGAACGTCAAATATCGTTGAAATTTTTGTTAAAGACCCGAGCGGTGCCGGAGCGGGCCGCTAGTTTATAATAAAAACAAAAGAAGTATTAAGTTCTCCACTTTTGGTTAAGTGACTAAAAGAAATTTGTAATTGCGTTCACATACCACACTATTACTGGGTACAATTATTTAGAACTATGTTGGACTCGATTCTGTTTACCAGCAAAAACACTGCAAAAGCATGATGAACAAAAACCAAAATCGATAATGTAGATGCAACGGCACACTGTAAAGTGGTTTCAATAAAACTCGACGGTGTAATTCATCTTCTCGGCTGCAAGCTCTATTCAGAGCTTTGTTTGCCTTTCAGTAGCTTCTGAAGCTCCGTAAGGGATGGTCGTTCATACCCCCGCAGTTCAGTGAGGGCGCGAGTTTCTTTGTTTTTCAAATAAAGATATCGAAATGGAAACAGGTGAGTACGGAACGATTCTAATTACGAGTATAATTGTTTTTATTAAATTGTCATTTTTTACTTTGAAAATTCCATACGTATATTATCTATATATTAGTACGTGAAGCAAAAACTTTGTATCCATTTTTACGAACATTGCGCGGACGGAGGATTATGAAATTTTTCACACTTATAGAGAATATAGAAAAGGAGTGCACAATGCAAATTTTTTTTTTAAATAATGCATAAAAGATACTTTATATCAATAAAGAAAACATTACACACACTACCATGTATTTGACACAAACACATAAAAATATATTCTTTGTTACCTGTCAATTGGAAAACTTTTGTTATTGTTTAAAATCTGTGGTCGAATTGAAAATAGATTAATATTGTTTTTCTTTAATATTATTGATCTATAGTGCAGTTTTGGCGAATACTGTGATTATATTATCTGTTGGAAACCCAACAAATTGGTATAAAACCTTTCTTATTGTTGTGGTTGTGGTTTTTGACATTACATTTGAATTATGAATTTTGGAATGTCTTAGTTTTGTCATTCTCTTTTTTTTCGTGCTTATTGTACGCGATTTATAAAATTTTAAAAATATACCAATTTTATACATGCATTCCTCGCGAGTTTATTTATCAAGTTCCTTGCCCATCCTAATCATACAGTCCACTACATTATCGAATGATAATAGTGTTTGACAATAGACCCATAATAATGCTTAAACTTATAATTTCAATTAATTATATTCGAATTTCGACTACTGCGGGGTCACTAGTTTCGTTAATTGTGTGTCTGTATTGGTAATAATTTTTCACGAAACCCAGATTCCCAAAATGAAAGTGGTATCAATTAAACTTTTACCATTATCTCTTGTTTAATTTCATCGTTATAGGTAATATCGTAATTTTAGGTGTCTTAGGGTTTTTCTTTTTCTGATAACGGCATATTGAGAGTAAAATAAATTTATATTCAAACAAAAGAAGTAGTTACAGAAACGAGATGAAACATAGTTTTTTTTTGTCAGTTGGGTAGTTAATTAGGAAATATGGAATGGCTCCAACTTGATCCAAATAGGAAATATCCCCTTTTTGCTTTAGTAGTACACTTACACAGACTCGATAACTAATAGTTTTTTTTTCTTTCTGTATCTACATCGTTGAATAAACTTACGGCCTTATTGCTTCCTGGCAGAAATAAATAGGGCTATGGCACCTAGCCTATTTCTACCCACTCTAATTACGCAAACAAAAACAAATGCAGATTAAATTTTGTTTACGGGTTTCAAACACTGGCACAACAAACAAAAAAAAGCAAGTGAACTATCCTTGGTGAAGTCTTTGAATTAAAAGAGACAACGCTCAAGCCCGGGTGTTGTAGTTCAAAACTAGAGCTAAGACTGACCTATTTCATAGTAAAATTAAAGTAGAGCAATTCGCCTCGGCGAGGGACCAGGAAAATTTAATGCACTTGGAAAAAAAAAAGCACTCCGATAAGTAACTTTGCAGTTTCTTCAAGTCTTTTTAGATTAGATTAATATCTATCTATATATATAAAAATGAATTGCTGTTCGTTAGTCTCGCTAAAACTCGAGAACGGCTGGACTGATTTGACTAATTTTGTCTTGAATTACTCGTGGAAGTCCAGAGAAGGTTTAAAAGGTAGATAAATATGAAAATGCTCGGAATTAAATAAAAAGAACAATTTTGTTTCACCTTTGCCGTATCCCGCGTTAGACGGATTCCTTTTGTTTGTTTTAAATTTATTTTATACAAAAGTTTAGGTCTTTTATTTATCGATTGAGGCACTACGAAATATGCCGGGTCAGCTAGTATTAGATAATTTTGTTTTGTTGATTTGCGGCATATCGCGTCGGAGGATCCTCTCGTATTGAAAGACTCTGGACAACCTCATGAAGGTTCAGAAGTACGCACTATACTCACATAACCGGAGAGTTATCTATTTAACCACCACATCACTGACCACAGGAGCCGAGCTCATGCAAACCACCTGAAAACACTGTGCCTATCCACAGTTTGTTTCCATGGTACTTTTTTGTCACGCACCACATTCTTGTATTGCTGATGTCCATGATCATTCTTGACCGTATGCTCATCTATAGCAAAAACGCAAAAAAAACCTTGTATACCATAGACTAATATTAAAAGTTTGGAAAATGGATGTTTCCAATCATTGAAGTTTTTGATTCTAGGAAGATAGAGAGTAAGGTAGTCTCACAGGGGTTTCCGTTGTAAAGATTACGATTTCATACCATGATCACTCTGAGGAGCCTATGACATTTTTATGCAATTTCTGGGTAGCTTCTTTTTGTTCGTTGTTACACTTAACATCTATGGAATAATGAGAAAATTCAGTTTTAAAATAATAAAAAAAAAGCTGCAATAGTAAAAGGAACTTTTATACTTAACATCTATGGAATAATAAGAAAATTCAGTTTTAAAATAAATAAATAAAAGAAGCACGCTGAAATAGTATATAAACGGAACAAAAAATTTACATAATCGGTTTTATATCCAGCTGATCCTATGAAAATTATTAAGTGAATAAAGACGTCTTGAAGTTCGTTACAATTACATTATACATAGATACATTATGTTTTTCCTACCTTTGCTGCAACGATTCTGTTACCAACATAGCGTACGCTAATAAAGTGTTTTAAAAATGAATGCTCTTAATATAATTAGAACTGTGGATCTTTTTTTTTCCTACCTAAGCTGATAGCCTTGAGAGGCTATTTCAGCGTAACCTTAACTAGTAGGTGAGCTCACGGGGCTCAAACCTGACGATGTTGCTAACACGAACCCTAGCAAGAGCCGTGCTTCGCAGAATCTACCACCGGATCGGAAACGCGACCCACTGAGAAGATCCGGCGAGAAACTCAGTGGGCTGTGTCTGAGGGTTAATTTACTCGCCGAGCCCTTCTTCGCAAGCGACGGGCTCGACGAGACCGATGACCGGTGCTTGAGGTACCTAAAAGCACCGTTAGTGGATCGGAAGGATCCGAAATGACGTAAAGTGGATCCGGAGTCTTATTTTTAAAAGTAAAAACGTTGCTATAAATGTTTTCCAATCAGTACGAAAATATGGATGGACACGCGAAGTCCAACAACCCATAAGGCGAAAAATTTTAATCAAACTTTTCACATTTCCTGATGTATCGACCTGGACCGAAAATTTGCGGACTTATTAATGTTTAGGCATTGTTCCGAGATACGTGACGCGTAGAATATAAAATAGGATTTGCTAGATTCGGGGTGAAGGTCCCAGGGCATTTGGCATCTGTTTATTCAAGACAATGTCTGGTTATATACCATCGATACACTTTATATTCATAGAATAGAGAATATATTTGATCAGCAACAATTTTACTGTCTGATAAACTTGTTTATTTTGCTAATTGTGACGCAATAATTATCTAATGCTAACAAATAGAATAGAGGTCGGGTCCACTAAACAAGAATAGAGGAATGTCGAGTTAGCTTAAAGAGAGATGTTTTAACAGTAATCTGTATGTCAGTGCTTATTGTTCAAATCTACGGGGTACGGCTTTACATTATAATTTGAAATTAGTTTAAATGATTACGTCATAATTTAGTTTTTTTTTTTTTTTTATCGTATATGGATGGACGAGCTCACAGCCCGCCTGGTGTTAAGTGGCTACTGGAGTCCATAGACATCTACAACGTAAATGCCGCCAACCACTTTGAGATATGGGTTCTAAGGTCTCAGTATAGTTACCCCACCCTTCAAACCGAAACGCATTACTGTTTCAAGGCAGAAATAGGCAGGGTGGTGGTATCTACCTGTGTGGACACACAAGACCTCCTACAACCAGTACGTCATGGTAGTACATGGTCATCAATTATAGTACATCATGAATATATACATGACATACATTTTTTTAATAATTACGTAACATTTTTTATGTATACCCGATGAGAATAATGACAAAATTGGGTTTTAATGAAAGCTCTCAACAAAGCGAAGCCGTTATTTGCGCCTAGACAAAGAGTTTTACTATAAAGCTTAAGTTCAGCTATGTATATGTCCACATACACAGTAGGCCAGCGATCGACAACCTTGTCAACCAAAATAGCCAAATATAGATAGCACTATCACGCAACTGAAATTTGTTTAGAGCAGTTTTTTAATATATACTTTTACAGATTTGTGTTTCAAAAATGTTTACTCTCGCCTCTTACAAGGCAAGGCCATTCCGAATACACTTTCCCCAGCTGACCCACTAGTCCAAGGTATCAAATCAGTATGCACTATTTGCCTTATCTGCCCCTACCTATCCTTTGAGAGCTCCATATCCACACAGCCCTATACGTGGGCTGACAATGTAGCGATTCAAAGTCTCACCTAATACATTTATATACACGACTAGCTGACCCGGCAGACTTCGTAGTGCCCCAATCAATCGATGAATAAAAGACCTAAACTTTTGTTTAAAATAAACTTAAAACAAACAAAAGGAATCCGTCCGACGGGGGTCACATCAAAGGAAAAAAAAATTGTTATTTTTATTTAATTCCGAACTTTTTCATATTTATCTAAATGTTTTCTGGACTTCCACAAATAATTCAAGACCAAAATTAGCTAAATCGGTCCAGCCGTTCTCGAGTTTTAGCGAGACTAACGAACAGCAATTCATTTTTATATATACAGATGATATTTTATTTACAAAAGGAATTTTCCAAATCGAATAGGTACACCTGTTTAAAAATTATTACATCGTCACGTGTTTCACGACCGAAATAAAATGTCTCCTTTTATTGGGACCATGAAATTTAGAGCGTATCTACGCGAGATACGTGTATTTCGAAGCGGATCGGTGTGTCTGTCATCAATGTTTTAGACTAGCTGTCCGGTCGCAGCTTCGCCTGCGTGGACATTTCTTATGGCGTGCCCTGAGAGCCATACGCAGCAGTGAGATGAGAGCTAGCTTAAATTCTTTGACAGGTATTAAACTATTTCCGAACCG